TAGCCCCAGGGCAAGACAGGACGCCCCCCTGCCAGGCTTGGCAGGGAAAACTACAACTCAGCTAAAAGAACCCGCTGGTCTGGGTTTCCCCTGAACCCCACAAACCGTGACAATGCCCCACCTGTTTTTTGTCATGGTGCATGCCACAGTTCTCTACCCCTATGACCATCTGGAGCAGGGTCGTACCTGAGCTTGCTGTTGCTCTCCTCAAGTCCGTATGCCTATATTTCCTTCACCAGAAACCAAGAAATAAAAAGACAAAGGTGATGCCCTCCAGACCTCACTCTAACAAAGAGCATGTGATTAGATCTGTCTTCTGCCACAGTCCCTATTCCTGAAGATCAAGCTTAAAAGGCAGGAGCTATATAGAGAGGCAAGAGCAGAGCAAACTGTCCTAACATGAATGGTGAAAGGAAGACTGACAGAAGAGTCCTGAATAATCCTTGGAGGAGAGTGACAGCCCAGAAATACTATTTTGCTGCCTGTGTAATAGCAGAGACACAGTAGAATGTACTTTTACCTTGGACTTAGGACCCCAATCTTCCTAGGGACTGACAGAAACTGTAAAAGAACCAGACCCTGTTATCTGCCTCTGAAATACAGCTGCCCACTTCTGCTAGGACTGCTAAATGATACCTTATTAGGTATGCCCCAATGTCAGTAAATGCTGATGATTGTCGATAACTCTTTAAACTTTTCAAGTAACACTCTTGTCTTAAGGTTCAAAGACTGAAACCAAAACAAATAATTAGTGCAATCAAATGAATATGAATGTGAGGCCAAACTCAGGTGCATTCCACTTCAGGTGGTCATTTTATCATTGCAAGCAGAGCACTGACTCAAACAAACAAGAGGTAGCTTCATCTTATCAATTTGGAAAAAAAACCCAAATCATTCTGTCACTGCTACTCAAAATGCAGTGCTTATCTGGGAAAGAAAGAGGCAGGATGGAATGCACTTGGAGGAAAACAGATGTACATCCTTTTGGAGTGCAAGGAAATACTCAACAGCTGCTGGAGAAACAGCAGCACAGTGGTTAGAATAACTGTGCAGGGGAAACCCAAATCACAAGCTCGAGCTTTGCGCCAAAACACTGTGATAGATCAGCCTGTGTACGTCTTTTACTTGGGCTGTTAGACTGGAGACAGCACACACCACTTCACATCACACCACTACAAACTGCTGCCTTCAGAAACCTGCATGCTCTAATCCAGTTGATGTGACGAGTTAGTATTTTTGAAATTTCAGGTAAAACTCTGTAGCAGTTTATAATTTGACAATACTAATCAATATTAAGCTGTCAGCATTGCCAGAGACCTGCTGGATTCACTGTTTTCTAGTTTACAGTGATATGATGAATGATAATCTCTGCATGGTGACCTAGAAAGGTATTTAGTAAAACAGAGACCCAGGACATATCAGCAAATGGATTCTGTTGTCTTTTCATGCAGGATGCCTGAAAGGCGACCAAAAATTCCAACTTTCACTGGAACTTCAGCGGAAAGCAAATAATCAGTTCTCTTAAACTGCTATGCTGGACTAATGGAGCTGGCAGAGGAGTAAACATACATCAGGGGACAGCATCAACAGGTTCAAGTCTTTAAATTACAAGTACATTTTTATCAAAGTTATATCTCCTACTTTGTCTGAAGCAAGATAACCATTTTATGCAGCATCAAGTCATTTGTCACCCATCCAGCTTGAGAAAGGATCAAGTACAAGAATTAACCAAAACAAAAAAAAAAACCAAACCAAAAAAAACCTAAGAACTTATTCAGCACTTCATTAATATATGATAATACTGAAAGAAACTGTACCATAGATCTAAAAGTGGCAGGTGATAATTTAGCAAATAGATACTTGTCCAAAAAAATAGACTGATTTTTAATTTAACTCTTTTGTTTGAAATCAGGTCCCTGTAAGTGCACAGCTGTACACTGTAGTACAGTGTACCCTGGCACTGCAAACTGCCACGTCCTCTTCATCTCTGATTCTTAAATGCTGTTAAGAGACAAACAGATTTGCACCAGTTTTATTTTCTATAGTGTTTTGCATACACACTGCAGAATAAACGTGCTCTAATAAAGTTTTAACTGAAAGAATTTTTCTTCAAAATGTCAACCTGAGTGCACACTCCTTCAAAAATAGCATATTAATTTTCCTCATCCCCACAGACTCATGTGACCTCTTTTATCTGTATCCTGTTTTCCACCCGCACAAGAGCAGCTCATTACTATGTTGTGCAGCTACAGCAAAACTTTTCAATCCTCCAGGAACACCATCTAGTTTTAATTTCACTCTGCATACTTTTTGCTTCATACACTATGTTGGATGTAAGCATGTGAACACGAGAGAGATCTGTGAAACAAATAGCCTTCCAGTTACTTAAAATGACTGTTATCCAATCTAGTAAATCATTTTATGGTTTCACCATCCCTACTTGTTGGCTGGTATAAACATATTTTAACAGTTTTTCAAGGTTTCTTTTAGAATTTGAAGTTGCCTTCCAACCTACCCTAATCAAGCCATGCCTTAGAAACTTCTCATTAGCTCTCATGCCCTGGTGTGAAAACAACAATATTTTCTTTGTATGAGTTTTATTGATTACTCAATTTAGGAACTACTGGCCACATTCTATATAGCATTCTATGAAATACCGAAGTTTATTAGTGTTTGTGTCACCTGAACAGAATGATACCATTTTCTTAGTCAAATTTGAAACAAGGGGCAGTCTACAGTCCTACAACAATACCTGGACAACAACTTTTACTTCAAACGTTTATGAGAGCATCTTCCATCAACTTTAAAGACATAAATTTGCATTTTATACACCTGAGCATTCCCTCAAATTAATGTCAGGGATACTTTCTAAGCATCTTTGCCAAAACCAGCCTGTTCAGCCACCTCAGACTGAGGGCTTTAGAGGGTACATTTTCAGCAAGCACACTTGCCGGGGCAGCCTACACACACAGCACTTCACCAGTGATGCTTCCATGCTGGTGCTATCACATCAACAAGAAGGCAAGTGCATGACCTTCAGCTCACATTCAGGCTGGAAAGTTTGAGCACAAGTCTTTTTGTTGGAACTATTCCACTTCAATGTCACATGATAAACGATTGTCGATCTTTTCTTTCTGCCCTCCCACATAAGGGTTGTTCCAGGCTAAGCTATTCTGCAAGGCAGAACTACCCACGCCTTCTTCTGCAATAAAAACAAAACTGTTTGAAAAACTTCCCTTTGTATTGCCCACACATAAAGAATAAGCCAGTATCACTGCTGGATTAAAGATCCTTTCCATGAACAACCTGCAGGCTCTGTGCATGAACACATGGTTCATAGCAAGTGAAACACGGAAGACCTCTGAATATCCTCATTATTCACAAGGATCATATATTGGATTTATAACACATAAATTACTTTTTCTTAACTATCCAGTTTAAAAACAGGACCTGTGTGCGCTTTCTATATTAGTGGAACAAATTCACTTATGTTTGAACTCCATACTTTTAACTCTGTTAATTTCAGTGCAGGGATAAATTTGATAAACTCTGCAAAGTGATTTCTGAATTCATTATTTTGTATAACCAGCAGAACTGTGTTTACATCTTGCTTTGAAATTAATATAGTCTGTGACTACAAGGGTCAGGTAATACACAACATCGTGTTTTTACTTCTGTCACACTATCAAAGATAAGTGCTGTGAGGCAAAAAGTGCGTGTTTGTCATTTCCTGTATATTTGTACATGTTCTACGATAATGAAGCTTCCAATTATTTGGCACACTTACACACCACCTCAGTAAAAACTTAAATAACACTGATGTTTTATGGCCTAGGGTTTACAGTGGCCTCAAGGGGTCTGGGCAAGGATGTAAAGAACACCAAAAAGTGTAAAACACTAACATAACTCTCTTAGCTTATAGAAAAGCAAGTGCATCCTTTCTGCCATCAAACGAATGGCAGGCACTGACTGTTACTTGGTCAAAGCTAATTTGTAAAGAGAATGTGAATTTTCAGGAGAAATATCTCTAGGTTACCTGAAGCTTTTCAGGGTTCTTATATAAACAATAGAAGATCACAGCTCAAAAAGGGTTTTTAAGAAGTAAAGCACACAGCATGTGGAATGAACCTACTCACCTTACAGCTTATTTGCACACAGAACATTTTTTGCTCTCCAAACACACCCTAATAAAGATTTTTAGCATCCTCTTTTCATAAACCGGGCCTCCTTCACAGTGTGGAGTTGATACCAAAGACCCACTCACATCCAGCTGCACAGGCTTCTCTACCATAAAAACAACCACAAACTGCAACAGTCTGCAAGATGGTATGAAAGGCTAGTCCAGGGCAGCATTAACTGTAACCAGTAAATAAATCTACTAGCCAATAAAAAGAGAAGAGGTTTATCCACACTGGATGCATGATTCAAAGTACAAAGCCCAGTTGCACTAAGAGCCCTCACTGTCCAGACAGGAAACACTTTCCTGTAAGAGACAGAATATGTTTAGAAAAAGTCCAGAATTGGAAACACCTACTTCCTTGATGATTAAACAAAACTGATTTACTTAGTGCTTACCACAAATATATAAATTTTAAAAAAGTGTTTGAGACAGCCAGGGACTGGATTTAAAAGGACGTTCTAAGGAGCTTTTAGGAGACAAAGGCTCAATCCTCTAAGCTTCCTTAGAAATCTGAGCTATAAAGAATTTCCTAGACATCAAGTAGGCAATGGAGGTAAAATGGACCCTTTGAATGACATGAGAACCATAGCTAGATTAAAATATATACACCACTATGAAAAGATCTAGCTGAAATGACATTCCACACTAACTGGGCACTGAAAAACATTTAAAACCTGCAGTGAATTTTCCTTTTTTTTTTTTCTTGTTCCTTTCTGTCTCCAAGAAAATTAGGACAAGTTCTGAAAAAGTGTATGGGTGTATTTTTTCATCTGTACTGAAGGTACAGTATGATATATCTCATCTTCCCTGTCTTACTTACCATCTGACTTGCACTCAGTTCTTTCAGTCACATCGTAGCTTGGTTCCAATGTCTGCTCCAGGCCAGATGGTCCTCCGGGATTATCATTTACGTCCTTCATGCACTAGAACTCTGAAAAATAAGTGAAAAATTGAAGTTTTAACGCTATCAGATGTCTAAGAACCATTCAGGGCTTTTACACACAATTTTTCATGACAATAAATTCTAAAATACCATGATGTGATGTTTACCCATAAAGAAAATGTCAAGCCACTGATGTGTGGAGTGAGATCAAACATGGAAAGGAGATGACAATGTATTCCTGTATGGTTATTGATACCCTTGCTTTTGCTTATTCCCTGCATACAGGAACTGGAATCTACCTGAAACCTTCCCGGTATCCAAAGGATATGTGCCATAAAATCTTTTAGTATTTAAGGAAAAGGAAGTAATCCATAAGCTAAGCTCTCTTAGGAGCCACCTGCACCATACGGAAAAGCTTTCACCTAAAATCATATTGCCCCATTTCACTAAAATCTCAAAGAGGGCTTAAAGGTCTGTGAGTGCAAGAAAAACCCTTGTGAAGGGCTGTTGAATGTGTCCTACTCACCACACAGTGGGGCTAACTGAACACAGTAATTTGGAAACAGTCCATCTCAGCCTCAGAGACTGTGTGTCCAACACGCCACTCAAAGCATGGCAAAGACCTGGGGAAAGAGGGTCATGCAGGCACGTAGAGAGAAACTGACCTCTAGCAAACTGCAAGGACCTTTTCCTTCTTCACTCATTCAGCTAAGGGACGGGGCCAGAGATGCACTTTTTTGTCCAGGTTATGAAGTGCTCTGCCTTCAAGGCTTATGTGATTTGTCATCTACTTCTAAAGGACCTCACACTGCCAACATCAGGCCAGTTCATTCACAGTCTCATCGGAAATCCACAGACTTGATAAAACTCTTTCAAAAAAATCACCTCATCCTATATAGCCCATCTTAGCACTAAGCAATTCTCTGATACCCAGGACAGTAAGTAAAGTAAGTACTAAGTAAAAGGATGAAACTGGCTATAAAGGTCTGAATACAGACTGTCTTTCACTTGTAATACAAACATAGTATGGAGGAACTATGTAGGTCCAAGAATAAGAATTACTGTCTGTGTACATAGTGTGTGTCGAAACATAATCCAAAAGTTATTCTTAAAACCAGAAAAAATAAGCATAAAGCATACAGATGGTATTTATACTTTTATAACCACTTAGAAACACCTCTCCCTCCCCCACAGGAAAATATGACAACCAATTATTTTCAGCTAGATGTTTTTATTAAGTTTGTTTTCTGATGTGACTTCTTCAGTCAAAGCTCAAAACCAGAGAAGATATCTTGCAGGAAAGTTCCAGAGGGAGCCAACCTTCTTTTACAGAGCAGGTGCCATTCAAAATGACTAACCATAAAAAGATGGTGTGGATGGTTCTGAGTATTCCATCAGCAACCCCACTGCTCCTCAAACTTGTTGATGATATAATCACCAGTTCTGTGCAACAGCTCTCAAGAAACAGGCTTTGCAGTGTATTCATTTCACTCCAGCAGAACAGCCATGAGGTGTGGAACCAAGAAGTAATTGGAGTTCATAAGGCACTGCCACTGGATAAAAGGAATTACTGTCTCATGGTTCACTACTGAAGGCCAAATTATATCCCCAAACTACATCGAGTGATCTAATAAAGGATGTTATACCTCCTTATACAGCTCTCCTTACGCTACCTTTTTGTGACACGAAGGACTCTGGTATCTGAACAGGTTGCCCCAGCATAAAAGGTTATAACTTCTGCTAAGTGGAAATGTAATTAACTCTGTACTCTCAGTCCAATGTGAACAGAAGACAAGAGAGTTAAAATTCGAGCCAGAAGCGCTCAGTGCTTTCACAAAAGCAGACTAAGAATGTGTACACAGAGGTACTGTGTTCAGCTGACACAGGGTAACTTCACCACATTCTCAGTTTTTAACATAAATCTGTTTGCAATGACAGTAGCCCCAAATGCTGTTCTTTGACCTTCCCAGTGCCTGTGGTTCACCACAATATTCAAATGCTGTTTTCTTTAAACCTAGTGTGCAAAGAACTTGGTTATCATGTCATTTCCAGAGAGGCCAAATGAATATGAACTACTGTGGAAGCTCTATACTCTTCCAGAAAGAGAGAGTTATCTCTTCTTAAACTATATGCTACTGTTGTAGTCTGTATTCAGTACAGGTGCCTTGTTAGAGAATTCCTTTCTCTGCACTGACTCCAAACTCAAGCATTTCTCCTCTGCTTCCTCTTTCCCCACCATGTAACTTAGGTGTGGTTTTACACTGTTGAAGGAAATAAGCCCATCTATTGCCTAATATGCCACAATTTCTCTCTCTCCAACAGCATGTGAATGATCAAAACAAAATACCACTAAAGCAAGGACAGTTAGGAATAACTCCTGCCTCTGAAAATGCATAAAGGCTTATTTGCAATTAACTTACACCTTGCAGTTAGTATAAACACAAAACTGATATGAAAACAATATTCAAATTTGGCTGGAGAAGATTTCAGCACCTAATTTTGCGCTGTGTGAAAACTCTAGAGGATGTGCCACAGAGGACTGAAAAGCAATTGCAAAACTTCTACTAGAAAGTACTCCAAAGCACATTCAGACTACTTCATGGATGCAAGAGCAACTTTATCTTGTGCTTTCAATGAAGAAAATCCCAGGTTTTTAAGCTACTGAGTTAATTTTTGCTGAAAACAATGACATGGTCTGCCCAAATCCAAGCAAAAAATTGTACATGCAGTTACCTGGATATATACCCTGGCACTGACAGAGGAGCACAGCAGGTTAATGTACAGGAGCATCATCACAGACGAGTAATGCAAATAGAGAGAGTGGAACAGAAAATCATAAAAGAGTTTACTGCTACTGTTCGCTTTTTCCCTGTGTCTGGGAAGGACACAGAATCTATCCCAAAGAACATATGAATACAAAGGCTATCTGTAGTGATGTCGTAAGATGTTCCCTCACCCCATCTACAACCCCCAATCAGACAAGACTACTTGCCCGAAAAGAGACTACACAGAGCCACACACTCTCCTCTAGTCCTCACATTCCCTTTTCTCTCTCTCGAGAACAGACAAACCAGAAAGACTGGGCCAAGTCTCCTGGGACAGAGGAACAGAAACATGTTATTAAAATAAAATGCGCACATTAGTGGTTTCTGTCTTGGGATCTGAAGACCAAGTTTAATTAACCACCTGAGTGGAAAGCACAGTTTATATAATGCAGACTATCTGTGGACTGTCACACCCCAGTCATTCCACACAACCCCTTCTGCTAGTTCACAAAATAGCAATTTCTACTGGCAAAAATAATGTAACTAGGATGAGGGATCTAGATGCCAACTTATGGAGAGATCAAGAAAGAAGAAACAGGTGCTTAGAGTAAATAGAGACCAATCCACATTACACAGGGTACTAAATAGCTCTGTAAGAGAAATACAGCTTTGTTACTTCTTGAAATTAGCTTGTCAGAGTTACTCAGAGCTAAATGGACACTGACAGATTCTGCCACTGTCAATGAGAGTGTCCTGGAAAACATCTGAAGACTTTGGTCTTTCTCTACCTGTATTCTGGGAGTCTGCTTTCTCCAGTATTGTATGTTTGTGAGATGTCAGTGAAAAGTATGATAAACTCGGAGAATTTTTAGTTCTGGGAACAACACAAGTCTGTTCACTGAATACTTGATCATCTGGTTTTCAGGCCACAGAACTGTAATGTAGCAGTTTGAGAGTCTGTCTTTGGTTTCCTATTTCTCCATTTGCTTAAGATTCAGAGCAAGAGACTGCATACCATTTTGCATATATAGAGTTCTTAGCTCAGTGGGTCCTTAAAATTTCTTGGGGAATTTAAATGAGTCGACTGTCCAAACCACCAACACTTAAGGTTCACTTCTTATTGCATTTAAGATGATGTAACCTTACACTTCAGCAGAAAGAGAGGGGTTTGTTTCATCATCCTGTTCCCTCTGTCTTCCCTATCTATGCAGCTAAAAGGCTGCTGCTTCAGCTTAAGAACTGACAGAAAACTAATTAATTTGGGAGGTGGATTAGACATCATTGGAGGAACGAAAAGGGGATCCTCTTCAGTGGAAGCTCACTGCTAGATTAAATGCTAAGGTGAACTGCACTCTGCTTACAGGGATTTATAGGACATCCCCTGGTGTTCAGCTCAATAGTATAAGAAAGTATCAAATGAAATTCAACTCCTTTGTTACAGCATATTAATTTTTGTGAATTTTATCAAAGAAAGTGAGATCAAACCTCAACTAGGGCAGCTGAATACAAAACTTTCCAACGGCGTTTCCACTGGAAAAAAAATTCTCACTTTTCTAAAAAAAAAAGCATTTTCCAGCCATTAAAAAGGTAAACTCAGATAATTACACATGATATGCACAGCTACCCTAGTGAACATTTATAGCAATTACTTGAAATTCTGATGTCACTCACAATAGATATATCAAGCTGGTAGTTTTAAAAACTTGATCGTGTATTAAAAACTATGACCAATATTGTTTTCTCTGCATAGAGATAAACATCCTGCTCAAAGATCTGAGCTCCTATTTAAAAACAAAACCAAACATTAAGAATAAAAAGCACTCGGTATGGTTCTGAGACACATATGTGGCTGCATTGCATATTCCCTGCCTACACTGACAGTGTGGGAGCTGTTAGTCATCTAATGCGCATATTTGCTTGGCACGATGCCTTTACTTTCGTATGCAGGCAAGGAAGATGATCACCAGTTTACTGTATCCTTACATCTTCATTGCATTTCATCAGTCAGAATGACCAAGCCCTCCCAACTCAAACTACAGGCTGTTAGGAGTCAGACCAGCTCAAAGGGAAATCCAAGCCCAGGGAGGTTGTTAAGCACATTTGTAAAGACAAGGATGACATTTATATTCATGCTGTTTAGACACACTTTATGGTGGGACCTCACAACATGTTTATTTAAGAATAAGGACCTTTTATTGAATAGAGGTCAAATGTAGTTTTGCTTTCAACACTGGTGCAGATCCTTTTGCTATTTTCAAGGGCATTAGAGGTTCTCAAGTTGATTTGCTTTTACTGTTCTTCTCTGCTTCCATTCTGGAAGGACCTGGAGCAGAAACTGGATTTAGTTTTCAAGTAAAGCAGTCATAAAACCTCCTTGCCCCAACTACAGCAGTTCTAGCATCCCAATTTCATTTAAACCATACAAAACACATACATGAAAGGTGTGCCTTGTGAGTGTAATACTGATGGTGAAATCTGAAAAGGAAAGGAAGCAGAATTTACAAGTGCCTCAATGTCAGACTTTGAAGGAATGACTCTGGGCATTTCCCCTCCCAATGGCCTTGGATACTGCAAACTAGTATTCTACCATGAAATATTTCATGGTGCAACCTATTTTGTATGGAATTAAAGAACCAAAGCAACTGCTTTCTGACACACAAGGGAAGGAGCATTTTGAGTGGAGGTAGCTCATGCTGTTTCTTAGATATCTCAGTGGTGAAACCACTTCAAGCTGACTGCTGTACTTATGTCAAGGGGAAGTCTCATACTGCCATCTCCACTGTAGAAACTGGCAAGGTCAGCCTTCAAGGACAATCTGGGACTACCTTGCAGGACCTCTTTAAACCCCTTCCTTATTCTAAGTGCCTTCAGCAATATGGGCTGCTGTGTCTCTGCTGGTTTTGACCCAAATGTGCACAAGGTTGAATTTCTGAGGACTGCAGAGCTTTCATGTAATGTCTGCTGACTGCACTCAGTGTGTTCATATCTAGGTGAAGAAAACAGTCTTTGACAAGAAGGAACTCAGAATAGGTAAGATCTGGTCTGATCCAGTGGAGCTCTGTCTTTAAATTCTATAACGGTAAGGCAGAAGAAGTATGTGGGAAGCATCCACAATAATCAACCATCTCAAGTTAATTAGCAATTAATTTAGTGAGTTACTAAAGTCTAGCAAAGATGAATCCTAAGAGATTCTGGTCACAGTTACCCTGATGTAAATCTAGATTAACTCCTAGAGAGAACATCAATCTCCATGACAGTTACTTCAGATTTACATCCAGCTATTCTGAATTTGTGCACTTGTTTTCACAGCCGTGTGGGAGATCTGTCTCAACACAGATCAGCTCTGCTCTCCTGCAGATTCTGCAAGGTACACAGAGTTACATTTCTGTAAAAACCTAACCTCAGTGAAATGGGGAAATTAACTTCTCCACTCTGATGAGACTTAAGCCTCCCACTTAACAGACAAAAACCCTGCTACAGGGCCTGCCACTAGAAGTGGTCACAAGATCCCCCTTAGTTCTCAGTCTTCCCACAGTAAGAATAATTCCCTCTCACTTGATTTCACAAAGCACAACAACAAGCATTGAAATTAGTACAATCTTTTGCCTAGGACTCTTAAGAGTATTAAGAATACCAAATCCCCAGAGTGCACAGTTTTGAGTCCAGTCTTACAACCCTAGCAAAATCCACATAATCTTTCAAGGTCATCTTTCTAAGAGGCTAAAGAGGGGTAGACACCTTCTGGCCATCAGCACTGACACATGTGATGTTCACTGCAGCTGCATCAAAGAAATTTGATACGAAAAAAGGAGTTCTTGTTCTGCCACATCACCCTTCACCCTTTTACCAATTTTACTCAGCTCTGCATCCACCTCCCTGCACAGCCATCAATTTCACCTTTCTTTTTCTCTAAACTAACCACTGGACAAAATGACGTAATGCACATTCCCACCCACGTGAATTTCAATACAAGTGGTGCAGCCCCGGTCATGGAATTCTGAGCTGATCAGATAAGGTGCAAGCTTGTCTGCTGTGCTTGTGGGTGAGCCAGAGTACAGGTCATAAGTAACAGCAAAGACACATGATGGGCAACATACAAATGACTTAAGTTTGAATTCAAAATATGTCCAGAGAGCTTATGAAACGGTTTGTGGAAACATGAACAGATACTTAGAGTCACTTTCCCTAGATGGTTTAAGGTCACATTAAGAACTTGCATCAATCTCAGTCATATGCGGATTTTATTAAACAAACAAATTTCTCTCTACCAGCCTTACTTTGAAAGAACTGGACACATTCCTACTCCTGTGCCACTGACAAACTCTGTTTGCACTGCAGATCCTAACTGCCTCACCTATTTTTATCCTTTGCAGGAACTGAGTAAAGGTAACCAAAACTGTCATAGTTCCCACCATTCACTCGGTTCAAATGACGCAAGCCAAGTACATCCACAAGTCAGTCAACCCACAGCAGAATACACAGAAGAAAAATGTCATCACTACATAAGCTTTGGTTTTCAGTAGTAACCTACAATTAAAAAAAAAAGGCAAAAAAAGCGCTATTTGTGAGTCTAATGTTAAATTGGAGGGGGGGAGGGCAGTATATTTTTAATCTATAAAATTGCTTGAAAAGGGACAGTTGTTTTTAGAGGGAAGCATTTTAAATGACCCACTAACTCATCTACTCTCTCTTAGAAGAACAACAAAAGAAAAGGAAAAAACGAGATAGATTTTTATACAAAATATTGGTTCTCACTTAAGCATTTAAACGAAGTGGCTGGAAGGTATTTGGCAAGCAACAAATTTAGGGCAGCTGATCTTAGATAATATTTTATCTACAAAGGCCAGGGTCTTACAGGTTAAGCTCCCCAGAACTATTTACCATTTATGAATTTGTCTACAGATACAAATTATGTCACAGTACAGATGGATGAGTATTTTAAGAATAACTATTCCAGAATGCCTATGTTGGTACATGAAGTTATTTAGAAAGTTATTGCACAATGGTGCCGTATAGATAATGTGTAAGCAGAATATTGTATCACATCAAAATAAAAACAATTCAACACTTTTCTGTGATGAAGTAAAATAATCTAGCCTCTAGATGTACCAAAAACTAAGTAAATTCCACAGTACCCTATAATGCTTATCTCAACCTCCATGAAGTTACTGAAGAGAAATAAAGCTAGAATTACACACAAGTCTCAGATGCCTTTTCTGAACTTAACAGAGCTTCATCAACAGGTGAGATACAAATTCAACTGGTTCCTGACATCTGGGTATTGATATCGTGCTTAATTTCAAGAAGAGTAAGTGGACACAAAGCAATCTTTCTTTGTACTGTTTCTCCAAGATCTCACCAGATGACTCATCCTCCTTCCTAAAGTACAGCAGAATCTCTCACATTGTCAGAACCAAAATTGTTTTCTATAGTAGCAAGAGAGAGACTAAAACCAAAATTGGATGCCAGTTCGCAAACTGCCATTAAATTTCCAGGAACTCAGTCCACCAAGGAGCATTACTGCACCCTAGAGAGTCCTTAATGAGTACTGTCACATTTGCAATAGGCTAGTTAAGGTTGTGTCAGCATTTAGGTTATAAATCCCTCATTATATGTTAGCAAAACATTCCTGAAGCTTACTGAAACATGATATACAGGATTCCACTCTGGAAGGGAGGTAGAGAGAAACTGTTAGTACCACAGTAGATTGGATTTCATGTTTTAATTCAAAAATACAAAAAAAAAAAAAAAAAAAAGAAGCCTTGAGCCATTTCAAGTTCCAAAGGCAGAGAACATTTTGGCAGGCATTTAAGGCTAAATCCTGGAGGTGATAAGTGCCCTTGACTCTAATCTCGGTGGGACATATGAGTTGCCAGCATTCCCCCAAAGAACGAGGGATCACCAGTGCCTGAGGACATGTTTGTACCAATGGGCATTACAGCTCGTAGCTGTTCTGTGGTCTGGATCACAGTTCATCTATACTTTCTCTGTTTTTCTGTGCTTAGAGAGCCTGATCCTTCTTTCATCACAAGGCTGAAGACATCTACAGTCCAGGGGGTCTGGAAGATAAGCACTATAAACCTGCAAACATGATGAAATATGCAGTACATATAAGAGCTCTATGCACAGAATATACTTAGTGTTAGATGGACCATTACTTTCCCCTGGATGTTCATATGTGGTGTATTTCACAGTATGGGCATTGTTTTTATAACTACAAAACATACAGCATCCAGTTTGGAACTCCTACCATTTCCAGCCCCACCAGCTGGAGCAGAGTGCATGCTCCTGAATTCTAGTTCTTGGAAATGGATTGCAGTAGTGGGGAGAGGAAGCAGCATTAGACATCATTAAGAAAAGGGGCAGAGCAGACAGAGGCACTTCATGCCCATCCAAGTCTGCATTAAATGGTCTCAGAACTCAAGTAAGGCCAGTAAGGTTAAAAACAAGGGTGGTAAGCTCATAGTAAAGCCAGTTAAGTGCTTTCAGTACCAAATGGAGGTGCATCGGCTGACTGCTTCCATCCTTTGCTGTCCTGAGTGCCTCTAAATGCCCTGTGATACACCACTTTGCATCCTTCAGTACTCCTGTTACATTCACAAGGGTGCATATACACACAAGAACCACCTTCAGTGCCTCAGGCTTTGGCTGCAGCCAGGTCTGTCCCACCTGTGAACCCCAGCCAACTCACAGTGGGGCACGCAAGGACCCCCTTTTATCCTGCCTCATGCCTTGTGGCTGTGTGACAGGTGACAGTACACTGGTACCAGGGCTCCAGGGCCATGCCACAGACTCACTTGCTTGCTTTGTTTTGGTTTTTCTTGACTTGCAGCTCAGCATTTACTACTACCCCTTCAAAGCACCTACCCCTTGAAAAAAAAAAGCAGAATGGCTCTCGTAGACTCCAGGCTGCAGCTCAGGAGGCAGTGGCAACCTGCTATGACTTTTTCTTGGAAAGGAAGTTAGATATAGCAACTCCGGTTCTAGGTCAGGACTCAGCAGCTCCCCACCCTGTCCGATGTAAGACTTCCCACATTAGGACAGTATTATTTTAATTTTACTAAATTGTATTAAGTATTTGGATATTATAAGCTACCAAAGTGCCACACATATATGCACATGAAACATGACCACTTCTGAAACGCACACTACATTTAAAAAGCTTATCCATTCACAACACACTAAGACCCTGTAAGTCAACAGCTGACACTTATCCTGACTAGCAATTAATGATGAGAAATCATAATGTAACTCAGAACCTGTGTGTTTCACACACTGTTGTCTCACCAGCGTAAACCATGGTGAGCCTGACCTTTGTGCATAATTTCTCTCTTTCTACAAACAGACAGAGTTTACTGGCATGGTAAATAAATCTTACAGAGGATTGAATCAGAAGGCAGACAATGCTCCAGAAAGAAGAGTTTCCTGGTTTCCGAATGGTATCTTCCTGTTTGCTAAACAGTCGTCTTCTCAGGTTAAACTGACCCACTGATCTTGGGATGCCACACATATCTGAAGGGAGTAGAACTGGTTATCCCAAAAGGGTGAATGCACCATCTCAAACCATCAGTGTATCACTACTGTAGCCATTTAGCCTATTGCTGCCACAGCCTTAAAAATTAATGAGTTCTCCAGGGAATATATAGGCAGAATGCTCAAAGCAAAAGAAGCTGCTGCCAATACTGTTTTCCTCTTCCCTAGACACCACTTCAAATCAAAACAGAAGAGCAGCTTTTGCCTCCTAGCTGAGTATCAAGATCCTTTCAGACAGAAAACAACACCTATGGTCTGTGTGGACAGCCCTTGAAATTTCCCAACTTGCGAGCCAACACCACCTAGTCTGACCTTGTTCCCACTGCCACCTGGGGGGCGACTTCTGCTATAAAAATTAAACATGAAGAGAAACTAAGCTTCATTTTGGAGTAACTTCTGAAGTTATCTTAATCCAAGTTTTATGAAGATGCTAAACCTTGCTTAGAAATTATAACCTGCATACAACTAAAAGGGGTACTTACTTTCTCCAGCTCTACCACTGACTTGATTTCTCACTTTTCCTTTACTGTGCAACAGTCAACAACACAGTCACAGACATGATAATGGCATATACACAGAAACACAGGTCAGCAAAGTCGTTTCTTTAAGGAAACATCTCACATAAAAGGGAACATCAGCAGATGGGGCCCTGCTCCTGCATCATACTCTTCAAATGTGAAAGCCTGGCAGGTGCAGAGTGGGACAGGAACAATCAGTCTCTCACCCTTTCCAACTCTTGCTTTTCATGGCACCACTCCACACAAAAGACACAAAAAAGAAACAGCTTCTTTTGCCTTCCAATCTCTTCGCTTCCCCAAAACCACTCCACCATTAACCAGTGTCACTGAGAAACAGTCTGCCAGAAAAGGTTTAGAAATCCTCAAACAAAATGCATTAAGCATTCAGAATTATCATCAATTAACAGCTCCAGAA